GCATTTTTTCTTTTTTTGTTAATGAATTCAGAAAAAAATCAATGTTGATATTTCTGACTTATTTTCAGGCCTCTGTGCTTCTGCTTAACATTTGTTATAGTCTAAATACATTTACATTAAGACTGATGTGTTTATGTAAGACTTTGTTTTTTACATTTAACCATTTGAAATATTCACTTGTTTATAGTCTAGCCTAACACCCGGCTTCAGCATAGAAATTGAACATTTGCTGATAGAAATTGTCAGTTTTGATGTGTAACTTGGCTGGATATAACACCTGCACTGGCAGCCGTCCTGTTTTGAATAAGTTTGGTTATCCCAGGGTTTGACTGTTGAGATCTGGCTTTGTTTCAAGGACACTTCTGTTTTTGCTGTAGCGAGTGATTCATCTAACACACGCTGGCTTCTTGATTTGCTCCTGTGCTCACTAAAGGCATCAGAAGTAGATAGTGCTGAATAAAAAAGGAGCAGAAAGCAATTCATTCTTGCAGTCACCATAGAGATAGATACTTTTGAAGCAGACAAGCAGTTTGCTCTAGAATAAAAAAAGACAGATAACAAAAGGCCCTTGGGAAGAGATGAAGGACAGAGATGTTAATTAAAACAACATGGTGACTGCAGTCACACAGCTATGAAATGGGGTTGCCGATGCTCCAAGCCCTATTTGGTTTAAAAAGCAAAACCTGTTTGTTTTTTTGTTCAGAATTGGGGACTTGAGCAGCTTTATGGAGGGAGGAATTGTAAACTCTGTCTGAGCCAGGAATTACCCGTGTTCTTCGATTCAGGAAGCAAACATAAATGTTTGGAATTTTTTCCCCCCACCATAGAAATCCCAGTCATTTTAGACCAGGTGCAATAGTAGCCATTCAAAATTTCCCCACTTTCCTAAATGCGTCCTTGGCTGGTCCTTCAATGGCCCCTTCAATTCCTTTTTAAACATCAATCTTTGTACTAAAATATTCTTTCTGTCATGATTTGTGGACATTAAGACCTAAAAAGAATCCACCGGTTGACCAGTGACTACCTGTCTAAGGTTTTAACAAATTGTGAATGACTTGTCTACGGAAAAATGTCCTTAATAATGTTGGCATAGTGATTTCAATTCAATTTAAACTGTATTTCATTAGAATCCAAACTTTTCTCAGGTCTCAGTTTTTTTTCTTCCCTTTTTATTTTATGTCAGATTTCCTTTGGAGACCTAAAGTAGCCAAAAGTAGAAAACAATCCTTCTCAACCTGAAGACAAATACTGTGTTTTAATACAGACTCAGCTGTGCCGTTTAATGATTTGATGCATTCGGTTTCATTAATTCTATTCATAAACATCTAAGGACACAGGATTAAAAATAAATCAGCTTAGACTAATTTAATTAATTGAGATTTTGGACAAGAAAACAAGTTTTTCTACTTTAAAATTTCAATTTTTTGGTAACCAAAAGTTTTTGTCAAAATTCATGTACCCTAATTTGGAGAATCTAGAAAAGGTAAATTGTACACAGAATATGATACCAAACAGGGAGCCTGTGGAGAGATTTTAACATGGATGTAATGTGAGTCTTGCTTTTGGTTCTGGCAAAAAAAATCTTGCAGCCAATGTGGATTAATTGAAGATGTTCCACCTCTTTCCTGCAAAGGCAAGTAAAGCGACTGTTGGCCTAGTGGTTAGAGCAGTGCGCTTGTGCTCTGTGAAGGTTGCAAGTACCACTCTGGGTCCCTGAGCAAGACCATTAACCCCTGATTGCTCCCTGGGCGCTGCACAGTGGCAGCCCACTGCTCCCCAAGAGGATGGGTTAAATGCAGAGGTAAATTTCTCCAATGTGAGATCAATACAGTTCAATTATTAGACTGTTGCAATAATCCAATCAACAAAGTACAAAAGCAGAAGCTATCATTTCAAGCGTATTTTTAGACACCAGTGATGTTAACAGATGTTAGAAAGATGAAGACCTTCTTAAAAATCATTTCAGGAAAAATCAGGAAAATCATTTTGAGATGGTTGGTGTTGATTTTGGAGTTCTATTAAAACTACAGCATTAAAAAAAACTCTGCAGGCATTAACAATCAAGTGAGTTATATGTTACAGTGACACCTGTGACTTAGTTACATCCACTACATATGGAGTTTATCACATCTGGTTTAGATTTTTACAAATATTTCCTTTATGTGTCCGTTTAAACAAAATGTATGAACGTCTGCTTGGGGTCCAGTATTCTGCACAGTCAGGAGGATGCAAAGCAACACTTTACAACGTATGCAGTGTCTTACTTCAGTGCTCGGTGGGAGGTTCTTCTTGCCTGGAACAAGTTTTCATAATAAACAGTTTGAAATGTGACTCTGACCTGACCAAACACTCCAGGTGATAGCTGCCAGTGACACCTCTGCTCACAGCACCGGGTTGCAAGGACCTGCAGCGTCTCAGCTGTTGTCTCTGCCTCACTGAGAGGTAAACAGTGGCTCAACAGACAGTACAAGGCACCCATCCACACTTTGTCTGTTTTACTTTCGTAAAGCTACAAGGCAAACTCGTCCGATGATGGCAGTGTGGGAAATTAAAGTGTATGCGAAATGTATGAAAGGTTATGAAGGTTAAAAAATGCATGCAGAGTATGAGCAAAGTATGAGTCAGCCAGCCTTGTATCAGCAAAAGAAAGCAAAAGCCTAGAGAGAAGTATTTATCAAGGGTCAGGGTCACAGATTTTGGTTAAAACCAAAAATAATCGCTTTTATCTTATGTTTATATCAGGCGTTATGATGAGCTATTTTAATCTAAACAGCATTACTATTAAGAACGCAGTAGTGTATTTTGCATTCTTACACTGCTTCCATAATGACAGTCTATATGCAATGTTTTTTTCTCATTCATCAGACCCCAAAATTGGGGTCATTTCTTGGGACAGCTTTTGCAAGAGACGGATTGTGCAAAAGTGGGACCTCAAGGCACTTATACGAAGCAATTCACCCGAGTCATACTGCCAGACTGGTTGAACATTTTCAATCAAAAGGAAACCAAATTGATTGCACTGAGTCATTAAATGCTGGATGTTATCCTCCTGGATGAGCATCTAAAGACGGTATTCGCTTGTAGTTTGTCATTGACTCTACAGCAATCCCTCACATAAAGCACACAGGCAGCAATAGTGAACAGTGGAAAGAGATTTCTAGTAAAACCAGACTTGGTGAGAGTGGTGTTCACCCAGGCTGATTGGAGTTTTAAGGGCATAGAAGATGACACACTAAAGGAACTTAGAAGCACTGATCTATAAATACTTTCTGTGTTAGAAAACATAACAGTAACCTAGCTTCATGGGGGGTTCCGTCTACTAAAGAAACAGTTAAGCAGATGAGCTGTGAGATGGTTTTCATATCTACAGGTATAAAAAGAGATCACATCTATGTTAGAACAATGTCTAGCAGAGAAACAAAGCTAAGCACTGTTTAACAGTCCAGACTTTTTTTTATCTAAGATGTCGACTGCAGCAGCCCCGCTGACGCGTCCCTTCAGAATAGTGTCAAAAGTACGAAGATTACCAGCCCAGATGAAGCTACAATGAGAAGAAAAATGAAGAGAGAACATAATAATAAAAGTTGAACTACCAATGCAAAATTTGAGAGTAGAGACAGAACGAAGCAGAACGATGAAAAATGGTCCCTATGTCCTCCAGCGGTCTAAGCCTATAGCAGCCGAGATAGCTCTATAGAGATAACCTGAGCAGCTCTGACTATAGTATAATGTTTATCAAAAAAGAAAGTTTTAATTTCAATTCAATTCAGTTTATTTATATATTTATATATATATATATATATATATATATATATATATATATATATATATATATATATATATATATATATATATATATATATATATATATATATATATATATATATATATAATTTATATATAATTCACAACACATGTCATCTCAAGGCACTTTACAGATGAACCAGATCATCCAGTCAGATTGATCCAAAGGATCTAAGTAAAACCAGTTGATTGCATCGACTCATTGACTCTTCAGCAATCCCTCACACTAAGCATGCTTGTAGCGACAGTGGAGAGGAAAAACTCCCTTTGAACAGGAAGAAACCTCCAGCAGAACCAGGCTCAGCCTTGAAAGAAGATAATGTGTTTGTCCGAATGTCTGCCCTATCCCCTAAATCCCTCAATTACTATTTAGAGTGGGGACAATATAGTGGACTTTATTGTGAATTCAGGTAACTGACGGTTCAGACAGATGATCACTACTTTTCACTCCCTGCTGGTCATGTAACTCCGCCTCCCCACACATTTGCATGCACCATAATTGTTATTTGTCGCCACACTATGCGAAAGTGGGCTTTTTTCACAACAAATCCCATGATGGTTTTCAATCAGAGCTCTCGCAAAGGAAGACATATCTGCTCGCCATGGATGATCACTACTTTTCAAGGAGCATTTTGAGAAATTTAGAGTGCACTACTTTTTCATCCACTAGATGTTCGAACACTTATTCAAAATGGCGTTACCACGATATAGGGCCCTATATAGTGATTAGGGTAGACATTTAAACACAGCCAGGGCGTCTGTCTCAGGAGCTAGCACTGGTAGTTGGTTCCACAGGAGAGGAGCCTGAGAACTAAAAGATCTGCTTCCCATTCTACTTTTAGAAATTCTAGATATCACTAATAAACCTGAATATTAAAAGCGAAGATCTCTGAAACATCAGGAACAATCAGATCTCTGATAAAAGATGGAGCTTGGTTATTTAGGGCTTTATACTTGAGAAGATATACTTTAAATTCTTTACTGGATTAAAAGAAAGCCAATAAAGGAGCTATTGGACAAATATTATACATAAACTCTTTTTTTCCTCAATCAGAATTAAAGACTTTTAACTACATTTAGTTATTGACTCTGGAATAGTTAAAAGCTGCACCGCTGTATGCAGTGGATCCCTTTTCTTAAGAAAAAGACAGCCTCATTGCTTTTTAACACCATTCTTATATGTTTTGGTCCTCTAGGCTCTCCATACAGAGATAAGATCACAATCGCCATCCTGCAGCTTCAAGAGGAAGGCAAACTTCATATGATGAAAGAGAAATGGTGGAGAGGAAACGGCTGTCCAGAGGAGGAGAGTAAGGAGGCCAGCGCTCTTGGTGTGCAGAACATCGGCGGGATCTTCATTGTCCTGGCCGCTGGACTTGTTCTCTCCGTGTTTGTGGCTGTAGGAGAATTCCTGTACAAGTCCAAACAGAATGCACAACTGGAAAAGGTAAAGAATTCATGTTTTTTTCTTTCTTTCTGAAGCAATGAAAGCAGAATTTCTTACAGTTACCACATGAATGGTAGCCTCATGGAAAATACAAGCTAGCATGAAACAAATTGTAATAAATATACTTTAATAAGAGGTGTAGAATTTAAATAGTTTTTTTTTTGTTGGAATAGATAGAACTTCACACAGTAATAACAGTGATATATTCTAAGCCGTAAGATAAGGATTGGTTTCTTTGCATTTATTCACTTAGGCCCAATGGCGACAACGAGATAAGAAACGTGAGGAATTCTGCTGTCATCATGGATCCAAGCTAGACTTTAACCACCATCTCAAATGACCTCAAGAAAACTTCTGAAATTATTTGCCTTCATTTGAGTCATATCTAAAACATCCCAAACTTCTTTATTATATTGTATATTTCTTATGTGAATTTTTCAAAGCAAAGGAATTGGGAACGTAAATAATTACACTAAATAAAATGTGGGAAGTATTGGGACCAAAACACAGTCAGGTGAAATGCACATCCGTTCATGGCTTGCTCTACTACATGAAATGTGTCTTCAACGGCCATATGCAAAACTCCCCCCCACCCCCCCCCACCCCCCCACCCCCCCACCTGCGTCTGTTCATTTCCACCCTGCAACCTGCCGCTCTGCTACACTGAAACTCCTCTGATGGTTTACTGATTTAAAGGGGCTAAATGCAGAAAAAAACAAGCTGATATTTAACTTTTTACATAACTCTCTGGCAATGACTAGTTACTAACACAATGGCCTGAATGTTCAGAAATACATTCATAAAATGAATAAACCAAGTCAGGTGAAGAAAGTTGTCTAATTTTCTAATATACCACAAAAAACTATTATTTATAGATTCTGAGGAAGCTGCATTTCAACAGTTATCTCACTTTTTTTTAACCATATTAAAATCAACTTCAATTCAATTGACACATTTCTATAGCGCCAATTCACAACATGTCATCTTACTTTGGAGTTCACTAGATCATCCAGTCAGATTGATTCAAAGTTTTCTATCTAAGGAAAACCAGCTGATTGCATCGACTCATTGACTCTTCAGCAATCCCTCACACTAAGCATGCTTGTAGCGACAGTGGAGAGGAAAAACTCCCTTTGAACAGGAAGAAACCTCCAGCAGAACCAGGCTCAGTGTGAGCGGCCATCTGCTGAGGCCCACTGGGGTTCAAGGAGACAGAAGCAGACATAGAAAAAGAAGCATAGATACAAAAGGCAACTGTCAACCAGCTCCACAGGCGGCCCCGTCCAGGAAACACACCGCCAGGCAGACGAGCTCCGAGCCAGCTCCCATGTCAGAGGATGAAGAGAGCACATCCAGTTAGTCACTTTAGTTAGTTTAGTAACTTGATGCTAATATTAGGTTTGGAAGTGAAGTTGAAATGCAAATAACTGATCCTTGACTTCATCTCAGGAAGTAAACATTTATGTTACTGTTGGTTTCTAATAAATTCCAGTGAGCATGTTGGTGTAATATTTAGGAGAGGATTATTTATTTTCTATAGAGAAAGGCAGACATTATCTACCAACTCATACTGATGGAGTCACAGTAAAATAATCTCTTTAAAGCAACACATAGTTTTTACCCAAGAAACTTTGAGAGCTGAATCAATACCATCAGTCAGTCAGATTATCAGGCTACTGACTCTGCTAGAGTCTAAACTGCAGCTTTAGGGGCATCGTGTCCTCCTGCCTGAACACTGCACTTTTTCTCACTTGGAACCGTAATGTTTTATAATTCTGTTTCTAAAAAGTGTTTTGAAAAGTAATAATGCTGTTCTGTTATGAAGAATTTCCCCCTCTTCACTTTCGAAGATCTTGATTTTTTTTTTTTGGAAAGGGGATTTTTGTAAAAGTACATAATTCTTAACTGTGTCAGCAAGGAATAATAATAATCTAATTTCCTTCCTTCCATTAGAAGTTCATCTCCTGCTAAGACAGTGGTTTATATTAAAGGAAAAGTCCGGTCAGCATGGAATAATCAATGTTGATTTCATTATTTTAGCATAACCAGTAAAAAAAAAAAAATAATAATAATTTTTGTTGTGATCACTGAGTCTGGGAGCGGCCATTTTAGCCCAAATATAGTAGCCCCTCCCTCCTGCCATCTTCCAGCAGTGACGTCACGGTGCGGTAAGCCTAGCGCCATTCTCCCCGCTTTCCAAGCTAAATCAATGGGAACTACTAGACACATCTGCAATCAACAACAATTATTGAAGATTTCCAGAGGACTTCACCATTGAAATTCACCAGAGCTATAGTGAAACTGACAATGCCCACGTGCATGGCAGCTGGATGCTGGAATACATCGGGTAAAAGTGAAAAAAAGAGTTATTCCACCTTTCTGATTCCTGATCCTCCACGGACGGGTTGGTCGTTGGATCGCCAACTTGAAGAGGGAGGATTTGCCATCGAACTTCTGGCCAGAGAAAAAACCCGTAATATGTAGCCAACATTTGGAAGAAGAATGTTTTCAAGATGACTTGGATAATAGCGCGTTGTGACAAACACCAGATACAGCACTGGGACTTGATCAACAGCCGATACCGCACCGTGACAATGTCACTAACCAGTAGGTGGCAGTAGTGTTCTTTGACAAACATGGATGCCTCCAGTAAAGGACATTCACATGAAAATTACTCTGAATTAAAAACACTGATCATTTATTGAACAGGATGGAATCATTTCACATTTAAAGAGCTTTCAGAAGTTTGAATTCTGAATATGAGCGACTTTTCCTTTAAGGCCCTTGGTTAACACACTGTAATCCACATAATGAGGTGGTTTCAAGGCAACATTGGGTCACAGCATGTTTTTATATTTTCTTTGAAAAACAATAGAAAAACAAATTATGATTTAAAGTAGTTTTATGCTTCTTAAGTTTAATGCCTCTTAATGACGGATATTATTTTAGCTACACCTTAAATTAGTACGTTGAAGAGATAGAAATACTTCCTTAAGATTGACTTCACTTTTTTGGTGTCTAAATAACAACAAAGTCAACAATGGAAATGTTTTATTTTCGATATCAAACCAGTTTATTGAAATGATTAATTAATTTTTTTGTTTATCATTGTCCAGTTTTTCATTTTGCGACTATTATGCTTTTTTTAAGCTTATATTCAAACACTAAAAGTAACTAAAGCGCTAAACAAATTCAGACATAAATATTCTTGTAATTTGAAAAGATTTAGTTAAATATATTTTTGAGGCTGCGTTTGACTGTTCCCTGTGTCAAACATGGACAACAAAGCTTGGCATTGGTCTTTACCTTTTAAAGGTTAGAAATAATATAATAATAAATATCAGAGAGCTTTTCTGATAATGTCTGGACAATATTAGTTACATTTCTGAGGCCACTTAGCAAATGAAAATCAATTCAGGTCTGTAACTTAGACTTGCATTAATCATCTAATTGAAATCTGTGTTGCCATTTTTGTAAAACTAATAGTCTTATGGGAAATAGACATATGGAATTATTTAGTGGAGCTCTATAAACCTTCTCTGAAAGGTTTATAAGGCTGTTAACTGATAGGATATCATAGCAGATTCTGCATAAAAATAAAAAACTCAATATTTTACTGGTTTTTGATTTTGTGCTGTTCTGGTTGAACAGGTAATGTCTGATTTAATGTATAAGCCGAAGTGAAATCATGTTACATAACAAACGTGTCTTTATAAAATTGTAAAAAGTTTAAAGGGTTTGTAAATATTATTAAACAGAATGGGGAGCTGCTGTGTTAGTATCTGTGTTCCAGGATAAACTGAGAGATTCTGCAGCTATTATTGCTTTAATTAGCCTTTCATCTAACTTATTATTTGTGCATTCAAAGTGCTTTTCATAAGTAACTCAATCTGGTTTTACCTACTTTTTCAACTTATGACAGGTCCATATTTTCCCTTTATTCATTTCGGAAAGTGAATTTCTCATCATTTACTTTCATTACTGAAATATTTCGAGCTTTTATACCTTGTATTATTGATAATTAGAGCTTAAAGACAATGAAAATTTCAGAAAATTTGAATAATTTGAAAAAAGGTTAAATATTTAAAACCTGCGGCCCTAAGTAGATGCAAGCAAAGATTTCCTCAGCCTCTTAATGTTTTTCAGTCTAGGTTAGTAGGCTTTATAATGGGAACATTGCTGACTGGACAGATGTCCAAAAGGCAGTCACTTACGCAGAAAGGAGGGGGGGCCACAAGGTGACTGCTACAGAAGCTGATTGTTCACAGAATGCAGCATATTTATAGAGAGCTGAGTGGAAATAAAAGTTATAGTAGGAAAAACAAAACAGGGAGAAACGCAGCCTTGACTTTGAACTGAAACCCATGAATTCAGTTCACTTCAGTTCAGTTTAGTTATATAGAACCGATTCACAGCACCTCATCTCAAGGCACTTTACAGATCTAGATCATACAGTAGGATGGTACAAGTTTTCTAAGGAAAACCAGTTGATTGCATTGACTCACTAACTCTTAAGCCTCACACAAAGCATGCTTATAGCGACAGTGGAGAGGAAAAACTCCCTTTGAACAGGAAGAAACCTCCAGCAGAACCAGGCTCAGTGTGAGCGGCCATCTGCTGAGGCCCACTGGGGTTATACTGAAACTAAAGTCAGTGCAACGAAAACCATGATGCACAGACGGATCCTGACCTGAACCAGAAACACCAAACAGATGTCAGATGTCTACTGATGGCGTTGCTCAACTGTGCTTTCCGAAGGCAACAGTCAATGCAGAACTGGCGTTTTAGAGCATTTTATGCTTTCTTTTGCTGAAAACAAGATGCTCATTAAATATTTGGCATTTGCCCATACCGATAATGTATCTAAAGCAACCCATAAAGTATTGTCTAGATGAGAATGAAAGGCATCAGACCAAACTATGCAGATGACCTGAAGGCTACTATAGAACTGAACTTCCATTAACCATTAGCAGCGGATTGCCTCCATGCCTTTGCACAACAATGCAATTAGTCATGCAAGAGGGGCCCCAGCAAAGTAATGAGTATATAGAAACCGACATACCTTTGATAAGCTGGGCGTCTCTAATGGTTCCCTGCCTTATATCTTTAAAATATGCTTCTGTGTGTATGTCATCTGTTTTTTTTTTGTTTTTTTATCAACAATAAGCCTTAATTCTCAAAATACAAGAAACAAGTCTAGGAATATTTCTGTGTATGTTGGAAAAGTTGATGAGGTATTGGTTTAATTGTATATAATGGGTTACAAAGAATAACTGAGTGT